GATCTTCGTTTTGTCATTGTTCTACTTAGATGTCTTGAACGTGGCTTTTACATAAAATTTATTATTATTATTATTAAAAGTCTTATTCCACTACTTTAAATATATTTTCAATATGCAACCTGTGCACTATTGACCTCCTTATGTAAGAATTTAACTTATACTCAAAATTAAAAGTCAAAACAATTCTTTCCATTTTGTAAAACAACCCTGGTTAGAAATGCATCCCTTTAAAGCAAGTTTTCTTCTGGACACAATATTTTATGGAGTATACAATTAAACATTTAATATTTAGCATCCTACTTGCATTTTGGGGTCCTGCACTTAATGTAAAATAATGTACGTTTTATTTGGTTGTCTTACCCTCTGCTTTTTGGCATTATTCCTCATCACTAACCGGTTTCTGAAATGAGCAGTTACATGTCTAGTTAGCTTAAACATTTATAGGCTAATATGATATACATTAACACATCAGCTAATAACCAAAATTTGCTTTCTCTTACCTTGAACCTCCAACCCAGTTCATTTTTAACAGCTCTTAATTACTATAGAAACGACAAAATCCAGAAAACTACAAAGTTCAAGCTTTTGTGCCTGTGTCAGCACAGAAATTCAGAGTGCATGCGTAGCTTATTGTTTTGTTTCAGCTAGGTAGCTAACTTTATCTTAGCTTTCAGAATACAATAGAAGCGCGAGGACGAACCACCAGACTTCCGACACATGCTCAGAAATGCCCAAAGAAGAAAATATATATGTGTAATTTTCACGGAGTTTGTTTGCTTTATTTCTGTATTTTGTTTCACTGTGCCTTACGTTTGCTTAAAATAAAATACTGTAGTATAGTAGAATAAATCAGTTGGGACTAATTTATTTACGTCTGTCAGACAACCAATCATATTTTTGCCGGGGGCTCGACCAATGAAAAAACCCCTTTGCAAACTAAGTCGCCAGTGACGACAGCAAAACCGGATGTTGGGCTGATTTTCTTTATAAAATAAAAGCTAACACAGACACGTTTGTGTGGTGGAGGTAGGGACGCCTTTAATTTGGCAACAATAACCGGAAGTGCACTTGTTCTAGTTTGGAGTGCTTGTAGCTGGCGCAAAAAAGGGGAGCAGGATGTAGCGGCACAAGTATCGGGCTCGCTTCACATCAGTCCGGCCATCAGAACTCCCTCTCGCTCTTTATGTCGACGCGGTGAGTCAGGTCTGGGGGATGGGTGTAGTAAGGGCTGGTTGCAGAGACGACTAACGGTTGAAAAATGTCCAACATCCTCGATGCGGCGTCTAAAGTGAGATGGGACCGCACGGCCGCGGCGAAGCGAGCCGTGTTTCTTGCGGCTGCTGCATACGGTGTCAGAACGCTGTACCCCATCATCTGCAAGCAGCTCTGCAAAAACAAAGGTCCTGGGAGCAATCACCGGGCTTCAAAGGCGGAGAACGGCTCCACTTGCTCGGGAAAGACTCAAACGGATGCTGTGATTGATAGGAAACAATCCCCGGGGGTAAATGCTGAGTTTTTCAAGCAGATCCTGGAACTTGGTAAAATCCTCTTTCCCAAGCTCGTTTCCAGAGAGCTCGCTTTGCTCTCTTTGCACTCGGTGGCGCTGATATCTAGGACGTTTCTCTCTATTTACGTTGCCAGCTTGGACGGCAAGATAGTCAAAACGATCGTGGAGAAAAAACCCAAACGCTTCATCATCCAGCTGATCAAATGGCTCCTCATTGCAATCCCGGCCACGTTCGTCAACAGCGCCATCCGGTACCTGGAGTGCAAACTGGCTCTGGCCTTCCGCACCCGGCTAGTGAACCATGCCTATCGGACCTACTTCACCAATCAGACCTACTACAAAGTCAGCAACATGGACGGGAGGCTCGCCAATCCGGACCAGTCTCTCACCGAGGACGTGATGATGTTCTCCCAGTCCGTGGCCCATCTCTATTCTAACCTCACCAAGCCTATACTGGATGTGATGCTGACCTCCTACACGTTGATTCAGACCGCCAGGTCCAGGGGGGCCAACGCCTCCGGTCCGACCCTGCTGGCAGGGCTCGTGGTATTTGCCACGGCTAAAGTCCTGCGTGCATGCTCGCCCAAATTTGGCAAGCTGGTGGCCGAAGAGGCTCACAGGAAGGGCTACCTGCGCTATGTGCACTCTAGGATCATTGCTAATGCTGAGGAAATAGCTTTCTACAGAGGACACAAGGTATGCAGAGACGGATGTGGGCATGTGAGTGCTAGCTGCAGAATGGAAGCGGTGTGGGAGTTATGTGCAGCCACACGATCATTATTGTGTTTATTTATTAGGAAGTGTCTGTGCCCGGATGTGCCACGTTACGTGTGAAATGCATGACACATTTACAATCTGTAGACACCAATGTAATTACTATGGGTGAAGCGGTAACTTTAGAGGTAGGTCTTTGAGGATGGCCAGCTAAGATGAATGGTCATATCCATAACAATGTTCCATCTACTGCTGCTTGAGGCTGTTAGGATCACAAATATGCTATAAGAGCCGGCACAAAGATTAGCAGTTAGTTTTAACTTTATTGACAAAAGCTATTTTTATTCTGAAAGAGCATCAGTGTGAAAGACTTTACTATTATCTTGAAGAAATTCTACTGCACAGCCTTTTTCACAGATCACACAGAGAGTTGGGAAATGCCTGTGTTGCTTCATGTTCTGATGTACCGCCCGCTGCAGGTGGAGATGTGTCAGCTGCAGAAGTGCTACCGGGCTCTGGCAGACCAGATGAACCTGATCCTGTCCAAACGGCTCTGGTACATCATGATCGAGCAGTTCCTCATGAAGTACGTGTGGAGCGGCGCCGGGCTCGTCATGGTGGCCGTGCCCATCATCACAGCCACCGGCTTCGCTGACAGCGGTAGGGAGTTGGTTAGGTGTAGCGTTACCCTAGCACGAGTCTTGTGCTTGTTAAGCCTTTTAAGTGCAACTATAATAACTGTAGTTACTGCTTGCTCTACCAGCGGGAGCTGATTAGCATGTGTGAAAACAGTAGCTGCCTCCCACACCTCCCTGATGAGCTCTCAGCATCAATAATAAGCCTGTAACCGAGTCCCTTATTACACTGTACCTACAGATATTTAATGAACCTTTTTCCATCGTATCCTTATACTCCCAGGTGAAAGTGTGAAAATATGTTTCGCACCGCTGACACACAAAGCTCTGTTTTGTCTTTTGAGGTCCCGAAGTTAATTGTTCTGCTCACTGTCCCATGTCTTGTGCCTGTCTTTCCACCCTTATAGAAACAGCTGACGGTCAGACCCAGGTGATGGTGAGCGAGAGAACAGAGGCGTTCACCACCGCACGTAACCTCTTGGCCTCAGGAGCTGATGCCATCGAGAGGATCATGTCCTCCTACAAAGAGGTGCACCGTAGTATGCTGAATTTAACACAACTTTGCTGTCATTTTCAATCAGAAAACTTCATAACTGAGACTCACAGGCCCACATCTTACACTGATCTCTCATGCACACCTGCATTTCATACTCGTCCATTCTAAAAGTTGCAGCAACTCTGATGTTAATAATCTAGTCATCTGAGGCACACAGCTCTGGCTGTGAGTCCAACCTCCTGTCCAGACCTGCTGTTTGCAAAGGCCAGCCAATCAGAAGGCAAGCTGGGTTAAAGGGAGAGGGGACTTCTTTCATCCTGTGCATGAAGTGAATCATGCAAAGCTGCTCTAGTAGAGTCCAGAAAAGCAACATGTGGAATGCTTCCCTTTTAAGGCATTAAATTACAGATTTTTCATTATTTTTGGATAAGTTAGAGACTGTATGAAGAAGTGATTAATCTGTTAATAACAGATTTTTGCTGTTTAAGATGGAAATTTATGAATGTTGCCTTTTGAATACGTGTTATATCCTGCAAATGATGTGTTTGAGAGTCAATTGCAGTGCAGCAGAAGTTTCATACAAGAAAAGGTCTTTTGCGCTTATTTAAACTTATAATGATTCAGCATTTTGTTCTTTCACAACATATCTGGCAGCTTTTTAGGTTTAATTGTCCGTCTGAACAGTAGGAAGTACCCAAGACTGTACAGAGTGTCACAACTTTGCAGTTTTTTGGCTCAGATGTCAGTAAAAATGTCTTCTTGAAGAAATAAACCGGCCAGGTTTGAGCATCGGTGGGTCGTTCCGGTGGCCCATGTGTACATGGACGAGTGGACATCAAGAATGTCGGATTGATTTATGTCCATCTCTCTCCTTCTTCTTCTTCTTGCAAAACTCACCACGCAGCATGAAAAAGGAAAAAGAAGAGAAAAAAAAGCTGAATGAAAGACCTTGTTCATTGATTGCCAAATCCCTGATCTTTCATTGCACTTTAATCCAAAAAGAAAGAAAGAAAGAAATTGCAAGACCAGTTCATTCTCTCTCTCTCTCTCAGGCTACATTTTGAAGTCCATAAGAGGATTTGGTTGCAGCACATTTGTGCTGAAGCTGTGTTGCACTGCAGCTCATTAGTACTGCTGCACTTTTGATCACGTGCCACCCTGTGTGTTGGCGTGTACTATCCCAGGCTTTTTGATAATTCCCTTTATAAAAATGTGGAATATTTGAGCAAAGATCTGGCGGGTTTATCTCATGCCTGTCAGCGAGTAACTTGACTGTCAGCAGCCCGAAACAGCGTCAAAGAGGAGGAAATGAAACTGGTTCGATGTGCTTGCGGTTGGCTGTGAGCTTCCTTAACTGTTTCACCCGTGCTAAAGAATTTCCCATCATGCCACCTTCTTCACACCATGATTATCATTTTATTGTGAAAAACACATTCCCGGGGGATACGAGTTTAAGCCTGCATGCACTTCTGTTTTGAGCACGTGTGCGCGCGTGGCTTGAGATGCATTGCGGCGTGCCCCTGCGTGCAAGGCCAAGAGATGTGTGTGTGTGTGTGTGTGCAGTTTGACAGACAGCAGGGATGGAGCACATTCCTGAGGCAGCGTGCCCAGCTCACGCCTCCACACACTCTGCCTATTTAATATGGAGGAGTGTGTGTGTGTGTGTGTGTGCAGTCAGATTGGCCCATGACAAGTCCTACCTTGCAGTAGTTTGTTACTCATCTTAAAAAGCTTTGCTGTTGTTTTTGTTCTTTGTTCCACAATAACAAGGTAAGACTAAAAGTCCCCGTTTTGTTTTTTATTTTTATGTGAAAAGCACACAGACATGAAGATGTGCTGGCTAATATCTACCAACCTCACACACAACACAGTAGTTCACTCGTGTACATTAAAATTGGCACCCTGTTCTATCAGCACATGATCCAGTGACTAAGTAAAAAACAGAACTGGGTCAGGTTGGTGCTCTCATGCTGTATGTGTTACACTGCTTGGAATTCTATTATGGGAACAGAACTGAACACAGAGGGCTTAAATAGGCCTCACTTCCTGAAGAGTGAATCCACCATCACTCTCGTGTCACTATAGGTCAGTGAAACCCAGCGCTTGTGTGTGTGTTTTGAGAGCTCCTTCTCTCAGAGCTCAGCTTAGCTGCAAATAATCCTCCATCTGTTGATCTTTCAGCTCTGCACTTCTGCAGAGCTGGAAGATCAACAGCATTTACTTGAACTCTTTTTAGGCCAATCAGAAAGGATGAAGCGGCTGTATTTGCTAATACACCTGCTGAGCACACCAAAAAACCCAGCAAGCACCAGATTACAGCACCTGCCTTGTCTGGTCTTCAGAACAGAGCCGTGTTTACGAGTGGG